TTAAAAAAAGTGTGTGTTGAAATAAAGATGTTGATGATGTTTCCCTTTGCAGTGATTTTTTTCTTTTGGTTCTTTTGAGAGTCACCAAAAAGAGTTTATTTTCAGCAAACGAAATTGATGCTCAGTTGTCTCAAAATGATATGCTGTTGACGTGGTATTTCAAAATCTTACATGGATTTTTTAAATTTAAGTAAAACAGAAATGATGCAAGCTTGACTGCTAGATCTTGTGTTGTTTGTGATATGAGTAAAAACCCTATGAAATTTATTGATTTGGTATTCATGTGAATTCCAGATTTAGCTGTGGGTATTCCATGGGTCCAAGCTCACAATTTAGAGGCAAGAATGAAGGAGGAACGGTGCAGCTATTTGGTCCAGGAGTTGACATGCAAAGTGAGTAGTTATCAGAAGTGAAGAGACTGTTAAGGTGATCCTGTTTATATATATATATATATATATATATATATATATATATATATATATATATATATATATATATAATATATAAAGAAAATAAAAGTTTCAGGGAGTTGCTCAGTGTAAAAGTCCCAGAATTAGCAGACACCAAATTGATGTACATTGTGCATATGTAAAGTACAAGACTGCAGATAGATGTCATCTTCAAAGTAGATTTAGATGTTTTAGAAGTTTTATTGCTTGGACAAGTCATCCTGGCTGTGATTTATATGGCCCCTGGGCATGTCTTTTAAATATGAAAAGCTTATTTCTTGTTTCAGTATTTGCACTATTTTATGTCATATTTCCAATAGAAATATTTATTATTAGTATGTCTCAATATATAGATTTCTTTTCTAATACTTGTATTATAATCAGGGATATGTGATATAGAAAAAAATAATGTGAGAACACAACTAAGAATAATTTTATGTTTGTAGATTAAACAAAATGACATTCTTAGTTTTACTTGATTTTACAGGCCTATTGATAGAATATCTATTAGATGTGGAAATATAACTGACGGAATATTTTGCCAACAGGATGGGGATGTTACTGCACTGTGTTCGTGGATGGTACAGCAAATAAAGCGAGCAACTAGGGAGAAATTTCAGTTGACGGGAGAGAAGCAGCCACCGGTTCCATACATCTTCACAACTCCCCAAGGGCAGGAGCTGGATCTCCGACTCTTTAACAGGTCTGATGTGGTTCCTAGCAGAGGGAACTTTTACGCTGGGTCTGTTTTGATGTCTTGTCTCTTGGGTATTTAGGTGTTTGGTGTTTGAAGAGGCAGCTTAGATTGGCTGATGGAATAGGCTTTGATCTTAACTATGATTTAATTGGATCAATTTTATGGGATACTTTGATGATGTGGAATAATTGTGGTCTTTGAGAGCTAAACTATGTTAATGGCATTGATAGTGGAAGAAAACTGTTGACAGAATGAGTAAGTGTATTATTATCTTCATCATCTTTATAATTTTTTTATTATCATCATTATCATTGTTATTATTATCATTATCATTGTCATTATTATTACCATCATCATTATCATCATCATCATCATCATCATCATCATCATCATCATCATCATCATCATCATCATCATCATCATCATCATCATCATCATCATCATCATCATCATCATCATCATCATTCATCATCATCATCAATAATCAGCATTATCATTATCATCATCATCATCGTTATTATTATTATTATTATTATTATTATTATTATTATTATTATTATTATTATTATTATTATTATTATTATTATTATCATTATTATCATCATCATTATCATTATTATCATTGTCATCATTTCATTATCAATCATCATCATCATCATCTTTTATTGTTATCATCATCATCATCATCATCATCATCATCATCATCATCATCATCATCATCATCATCATCATCATCATCATCATCATCATCATTGTTATTATCATTATCATCATCATCATCATCATCATCATCATCGTTATTATTATTATTATTATCATTGTGATCATCGTCATCATCATTATTATTATTATTATTATTATTATTATTATTATTATTATTATTGTTATTATTATTATTATTATTATATCATAATTTTTACCATTATTATTAATGTTATTTATTTTTATTTATTTATTTATCCTTATTATTTTTTTAGATGTTTTTTTGCATGAATTAGCTCTGTGCTCTGAAGTATAGTCCTTAACCGGCATCATATAACTATTCCATGTAACTTTAGCCTAAACTAGATGGAAACTGTTAGTTAGATAAGAAATTAAGACTTTCTAAGTCAGGGAGGATGACATTGAGGATCAGACTTATTTTTAAGAACTTTTGAGGCTCTATGGTTTATTTTCAAATATTTTTGATATCTTTATTAGTCTTGTATTAAGATTAAAGCATTGAATGGTTAGTGTTAGAAAACAATCCTAGCAAGTCTATTAGAACTTGTTTTCTCATGTGTGATTTCAGGGAGCTTATGAAGAAAGCTTTACCAGTGCTGGTTAACATATTAGAAAAGGAAGCGCGGGGCTGGTTCCTGCACTTCAGAGAAAAAGTTGTGGCTGATCTCAAGGCACAAAATCTTAGTGAATATGAGGTTGAAAAGGTGAGTAACTATCTTGTTTTTACTTTTTAAAAACTTTTTTGCTTGTCTTTTCTAACAAAAGTTATCAGTTTACTGTTTTTCATGTTTCCCATTAGTGCAATATAATAGGATGTATTCTTGTATTGCCATTGTTTTTACAGGTATTTGAAAAAGGAACCATATTTTCCATGAAAAGATAATATCATCCTCTAAAATGTGTTTTTTTTGCCTTACAGGAGGGAAACCGTTTAGTGCAAGAGGAATATTTAGGCAGAGTATATACTGCAATTCTAGCCCATCCAACCCTACAAGAGCTGGCACCCACAGTCCCACAGCTACTTGTCAATCATGCCAAGGGTGTTCTGCTGATGCACAGGTTAATTCTAATGCTCTGTCTGTTTAGACTTTTCATTTCAGAATGTATGTTTTCTGTAATATTTTTGTGGATGGAGTGTACATCCATTTGATAGGTAGCTGAAGATATATTGTAACTATGTTAATATTCCAGAGCATTGGATGAAGTAGAAAGAATATATGAAGAAGGAGAAAGGTCCCGTCGAGAAGAGCTCAAACACACGCACCCAATTTTTTCTCGAATTGACCCCTGGCTTTCGGATCAGTTGAGAGCCACACATGATGCCCTCACAGAACAGCACAAGTGGCGGCCACATGAACACGCCCTGGCACTGTGTAGGGAAAACGATCTTCAGCAGCATGCTTATTTCCTGCAGAGGGATTTGGCATTTATGAGAGAGGTATGTCCTGTATACAATGAATTAACATTTTTAATCAATATGACTGAAATAGTCAAATTACTCTTATTATTTTCCTGTAGTATATGTAATTTTGTAGAGATCACTAGTCTAATAGAAGACTTCTTTCCTAATCCTAATGACCAATGTTTTACAGCGGGAACCAGTATTATTGAATGAACTGAAGAATTTAAAGGTTGCAATGAGAGTGTTCCAGTGGCGAGCTCAAGTTTGGTTTCCAAGCAACTACATAGTCAGTAGAAGTTTTCAAGGAGAAAGTGAAATTATACCAACTGTCTTGGCTTCATCACCTACATCCATTACAACTCCTCGGACAGACCCAAATCACCCTGTTTACCTATTAGAAAAGCAGGTACTGCAATATAGAAGTATTAGTATGTAATGAGATAATGAGGACTAGAGTATTTTGAAAGAATTCTATGTATCACTGATATGATTAATTAAGTTCAGTGTTGGCTTGCTTGTGTTAAAAATATATATCCAAACATCTGATTTGTTAAATGATGCCTGAAGACAAAATATTATGTCAAGAACAGGAATACTACCTTTTTTATGATTTACATGAAAATTGATTTTATTCTCACGTTTTTTTCCTCAGCTGATCAGAACAACATCAACGCGATGGCCCTTCTGGCGATGGTGTAACTTTGTTCACAGGGCTTGGGCTTGGACATGCAATGCTCTGTTCTTCTTTGGGGCAAGTTACTGATTACAATTATAGCTGTAATAATTTTTTAAATTTTGTAATTATAAGTAATGCTTTTTATGTAAAATTATTGTGCCATGATTTTATTTATATCTTTTATTTTTTCAGGTTTGGCTACCACTGTGTTCACCAGTCAGTCTTAGAGCACTTCTGTGTCAAGATCCTTTCATGTCCGACTTCGAGTTATCACAGGTATATATAACAGGAAATTTTAACTTATTTTGATGATGGAGGAGTATGTAATGTTGTTGTTAGTTCATTACAATCATGATAGATATGATTTATTCAAGTAGAGCTTATGAGATTTTGGACTGCATTTGTAGAAAAACATCAGGATAGTAACTTCTTTGTAGAAATAAGGAATATTTATACAATTATAATTTGGGAGGCACTATTAGGTTAAGATAGGAAAGAGAAGATGAGGTAGATAGAAAGTTGCATAGACGGCATTTCAGAAGATTAGATGAATAATGATTTCATGAAAAAAGTTCAGCAAATATGAAAGAGGAGAGAGACTTAAAAATAATTCCATAGTGTACTTCTGATATCCTGCTTCCAGGTGAATGGTACAGTGTGTCCTAGCAAAGCCTCACTCACACCAACTCTAGTCTCAAGACTAAGGATGCTGTGGAGGCATATATCCAAATCCCGCACACATTTTGAAACAACACCAGACACAGGTGAGGACAGCATTTCTGCCTTCTGTCAGTATTGTGGAATGCTCCTAAATATGTATATATTTTTTTCACCACAAAGATGCTAGAAGAGTATGTGAAATTAACCTAATCTTTTATTGACAGGCTTCATTGGTAAAGGAGTTACAAGACATATGAATCGTGCTTGGAATTATGTCATGAAAGGCATTGTTGGCACATTACTTCTCACAACTGTTTTTCCTCTCACTTGTCTTCTTGTATCTATGGGATCAATGGCAATTGCTATTGCTGCACCCTTCTGGTAAGTACTGGATTCTTCATGTTTTATGAGAGAAGTTTTTATTTGGGTAACATTGAACTTCTGTTATGTGTGTGATTTGATTTGTAGGATGGTTTAATAATAATTTGATAATCGTGGTTATGGTTTTGTTGAAGATTAAAGGAAGTAGGGCATTAAAATCACCATCACATTGCCATCACTTTATGGTGCGTGTAAACATTCATATTCATACTGGTATCAATACATAATTCATCTACTGCTGATGTCTACATAAAGTCTCTATATGAAATTTTAGCATGAGTGAGTGGATGCGAGTGAATAAGTGAGCGAGAGATTATTTATATACATTGTATATGTATACTTTTCAGGGTACCTGCATGTGTTCTCCTTACTCACATTGTCTGCATAATCATATATGACTTGGACTCACCCACGGGTATGAGGAAGTGGAGTCCAGTTATACAAGCAGTTGGACTTCATGTCATCATTCTGGGCATCTTGCAACCAGTACTAGCATTCTTCACTGCAACAGTTGTTTGTCCAATATTTGCTGCCATCGTTCTACTGTGTAAGAGTTTTTGTCTTGATTACATTCCATTGATTTATATGTAGAAGAAAAAGAAAGGAAGTTATATGAGATTTAAACAAAATTATATTTGTACAGTTGTCTTATAAATAAGTATATATTTAAGGAGTAGTGTTTTTATTATACACACGAAAAAAGAAAAAGATTTCAACATATCTCGTATTTCTGACACTGACAGATGGATTGATCCGTAGAGGATTACGACACTTTTGGGATACAGTAATGTTTCATTCAGTCATCAAGAAAAGGGGCAGAATCCCAGCTTCTGATAGTTTCCTGGTTAAACGCATAGCTGGACCTGGGCTTCACAACAACTTCTTCTATCAGGTTGGTTTACAATTTCCTTGTAATGTGTTGTGATGTTTATGTGGATTTTATTTAATGTTTCAAGTCTTATTATGATGAAGGGTATGAGAAAGCAATAATCTGGAAGTTGATGCCATATTTATACTGTTGCCAAACTCTTTTATCTTGTTTAAGATATTTATTGTTTGTTTGCTTAATGGCCTGATGCAGTCAGCCTCAAATAGGATGATTAGGTTATCAAACTGCATAGTGTACTGGAAATAGTATGAGACCTTAGATTGTAAGATTTCTCATGTTAGAACAGTAATTACATTTTACTGGAAATAGTATGAGACCTTAGATTGTAAGATTTCTCTTGTTAGAACAGTGATTACAGTTTATGGTTTCAGATAATAATTAAACTCAGTACTGCTGCATTTCTGAGTTTAAGAAATTATTATTATTATTTATTATTAGTTAGTAGTAGTAGTAGTAGTAGTAGTAGTAGTAGTAGTAGTAGTAGTAGTAGTAGTAGTAGTAGTAGTAGTAGTAGTAGTAGTAGTAGTAGTAGTAGTAGTAGTAGTAGTAGTAGTAGTAGTAGTCAGTAGTAGTAGTCAGTCATAGTAGTATTATATTTATTATTGATTATTATTATTATTATTATTATTTATTATTATTATTATTATTATTATTATTATTATTATTATTATTATTATTATTATTATTATTATTATTATTATTATTATTATTATTATTATTATTATTATTATTATTATTATTATTATTATTATTATTATTATTATTATTATTATTATTCATTATTATTATTATTATTAATTATTATTATTATTATTATTATTATTATTATTATTATTATTATTATTATTATTATTATTATTATTATTATTATTATTATTATTATTATTATTATTATTATTATTATTATTATTATTATTAATTATTAATTCATTATTGTCATTATTGTCATTATTGTCATTATTATTATTATTATTATTATTATTATTATTATTATTATTATTATTATTATTATTATTATTATTATTATTATTATTATTATTATTATTATTATTATTATTATTATTATTATTATTATTATTATTATTATTATATTGCTATTATTATTGTTGTGATTATTGTTGTTATTATTATATTATTATTATTATTATTATTATTATTATTATTATTATTATTATTATTGTTATTATTATTATTATTATTGTTGTTGTTGTTGTTGTTGTTGTTGTTGTTGTTGTTGTTGTTGTTGTTGTTGTTGTTGTTGTTGTTGTTGTTGTTGTTGTTGTTGTTGTTTATTGTTATTTATTGTTATTGTTATTGTTATTATTATTATTATTATTATTATTATTATTATTATTATTATTATTATTATTATTATTATTATTATTATTATTATAATTATTATTGCTAATATTATTACTATTATTATTATTATTATTATTATTATTATTATTATTATTATTATTATTATTATTATTATTATTATTATTATTATTATTATTATTATTATTATTATTATTATTATTATTAATATTATTATTATTATATCATTATTATCATCATTATTATTATTGTTGTTGTTATTGTTGTTGTTGTTGTTGTTGTTATTACTATCAACATTATTAATTATTTATTATTACTAATTATTATTGATATTTGAATTATTATTACCATTAAAAGTATTATTTATATTATTATTAGTTATAGTGTTTGTATTACTATTTAGTTTGTTAGTTACATTAGTTATTTAGATATTTTTATATTTTTTCACCTTATTTTTTTTACAGATAAGCTGTGAACAAGCACTGGCAGCATTTGAAGCTAGACTAGAAATGGATGAATTAGCAGTCTACCAAAGAGAAACTGAAACAATTATATACAAACCCCTTGTTGAATACACGTAAGTATGAGAGCAGAAAGCTTCTTATAGGTACTGTTGTGGTGATAATGATGATTTTAATGACATCTAGAATCATGATGATGAGGCCTCTGATAAAAGTAATTATGGTAATATTGATGATCATCATAATCATAATAGTTGCAGTAGAAATGATGATGGTAAAGGCAAAGATGGAGATAATGATATTTCTTATCTGACTTACAGGGATTATGTTCAGCGATGTTTTGGCCCCTTCAGTGGAGTCATTGGTAAAACTGGCAATTACGAACGAGTAGAGAAAGAAGTAAGAGATCTTAGCTTCACTTTGCAGGAAAAGATTGACAGGCGGAGAAGAGACTTAACACTTGGCTTGCCTCTGAATGTTAGGTAATAGTGACATTGTTTTGACTTTCATACATTTTCTTTCCAGCTGGTTATTTTATTGTGACTCTTCTACCCCTCTTTTATTTTAATTTTTTTGTTACTTTTCTTTTTCTTTTACCTGTTTTTGTCCTTTTTTTTTTGGCAGATTTTTTTTCTGGTTTTCTGTTGTGTAAGGATTTCATATGAGCCATTTACTTCAAGTTTTCCATATGCTGTATAGATGCTTCAGGAAATGATTTCCAAGGATGTGACTCCCATTTCAGATCAAAGGTGAAGCTCACAACTCGAGACTTGAAGTTAGCTTTGAAACAAGCAACGATACTGATTGAGGACTTCTACCCCTCGCATGTCCTTAATCGCATTGTGTACCAACTGGGAGCAGAATCTACCGAGAGTGACATGGGAGCTGTGTTAAGCCAGCTGGATGCTATCCATGGAAGGAATGCTTCAGGTCCAAAGAACGTTGGGATTCTAGAGAGGAGTATGAATAAGTCTGGTTCGAGGAAGAGTGGGCTGCATGAATCGAAGTTTGCCACAGTTGAAGAGTGGTGGGATAGCAAAGGTCTAGCTGTGGGTGAGTAATGTTAAAGTGCTGTTTTCCATGCTTTTATTGTATATCCTGTTAGTAGCCACTTGTGTGTAGGTGTTATACTAGCTTAATCCTGATTTTATTTTTTTTACCAGGTGACTATGCTGGGTTAGCATCGTTGATATTCACAGAGATATTTAGTTCTGATTTCCTCACGCCCATGGAGGAAACAGATACTAGTTTTCAGATGGAGGTATGTCTAACTTCTTTTGTGTGTTTCATTTGTGAAGTGATGTGAAGTTGAACATGGTGATTTGTTGTTGATAATTTTTTTGCTAGTTTTTATGAAGAGGGATGAATGTTGTCTTCATCATAATTACCTATTAATCTTTTATGTTTCATTCCATTTCAAAGTTGATTTTATTTCTACTTGTTAATTGTTGAAAATAAGAATTTGCTTTAATTTTCATAATTTCTACTAAGATAAAATTTTTGATTGAATGTATATTTGAATATGACTTGTTCCTTCAGGTCCATGGGGTAAGCTTGGCTAGATACACAGAGATGATGCGTTGTATGCCAGATAGACCTGACCTTGATGAGAAGTTGACTGTTCACACTCCAAGAGGAAATATACAGGTAAGCAGTTGATTGCATAACTAAAGGATACTTAGTCTTCCATGGTTTATAATAGATGACTTTGACCAAGGGCTGATTGGTCTTGGGGATGAGCATTGCATTGGCTGTGTACCCACTCCTTGTCTTTCACTACCAAAAGTAGGAAGAATTTGAATATTTTAGTCAAGTTCTGCTCGTTATATCTTGCCAATATGATATGTGGGTAACACTGAATTTGTATTGAAAAATAAACTCCCTATATGATGCAGCTGAAGTTAACTATGACATTACTATACAGCATATGCTATGAATGGTTTGAGGATTCTCTGCCAGATTATTTCTTAACTTAGTAAAAGAAATTTACATTGTGCATAAAATGATAATCCTCAGCTTCACATTTTTTTTTCTTTTTTCTTAAAATCTGTTCTATAGTTTAGGTATTCCAGACTTTTTTTTAACCATTTCCTAATAATTAAATTGTCTGGTTGGAATCTATTCTCCAGGTTCATGCTCCTTACCTAGATTTAGCAGCTTTTACTCCACTTGTTCGTCATGGAGTCCCAACGCATCGCACGGGGAAAACAAGTCTCGCAGCCCGACTCTCTCTTCGCCTTAATCTTGGACGCAGGATGGGTAAGATTTTTGGTAAGCATTAGCTAGATCTGAGTTTAACCCCTTAGGGACTTTTGTCTTTGTTTATTTTGTGAATTCACTCCCTCCCCCCTTTAATAAGCACTTGCTTTTCACAATTTGTACAAAGTATGTGTTGTGAGAGACCAGTTTGAATTTTATTGAGAAAGTGATTGTATGAGTAAGAATTTTTGATATAATCATTTTTCCCCTTCCCAGTCCCTTCACTTGTGTTCTCATTGATGTATAAATTATTGACATTTAATCATCTCCCATTAACAAAATGGCATGTAAGACAACCGACTTTAAAGCGACCCTTAAATATAATTAAAAGAATACATTGTCCCTCTGGCATAAATGACATTGGACCTATGAAAGGTTATGAGTTTATCCTTACGGGGTTAATTTTAGTGTTGTCCTATTTTTCCCTCTCTTTTTTTCTTCTGTTTTCCCCCTCCAGTTCATATCATTTTGCCTCTTCCCTTCTCACCTCCTCCCTCTCCCTTTCCCCTTCTCCTTCTCCTTTTCCCTTACCTTTTCCCCTTGCCCTTGCCCTTGCCCTTGCCCTTGCCCTTCCCCATGCCATTGCCTCCCCCTCCCTCTCCTCTCCTCTTTCCTCTATCCTTTCTCTCCCCCTCCCTACCCCTTTTCCCCCCTCCCTTTAGCCTTCCCTTCTGTCTTCTTTCTCTTCCATTCCCCTTACCTTCCTCTCCTCTTTCCTCCCCTTCCTCTTCTCCCCTTCAGCTCTCTTCCTTCTCCTTCCTCCTTTGCCTTTCCCTCCCCTTCCCCCTTTAGCTCTCCCTTCCTTCTTCTTCCCCTTTGGTTTCCCGTTGCCCTCCCCAGCTCTTCCAACTACCCCTTCAGCTCTTCTTTCCTCCTTCTTCCCTTTTCTTACCCTTCTGCTTCCCCTTTATGTTCCCTTTTGCCATCCACTTCCCTTCCCCCTCCCCACTGAACTCTCCCTCCAATCTGCTTCCCCTCTTCTTCCTTGTCCTGTTCTCCTCTGCTGCTTCCCCATTTCCTCTTCTTCCCCTTCCCCTTCCCCGACCCTGTCCCATACCCCAGCCCCTACCCCGCCTGTCCCTGACCCCGACCCTTCCCTTCCCTTCCCTTCCCATCCTTTCCCATCCTTTCCCATTCCCTCCCATCCCCCTCCCCATTTCCTTCTTCCCTCCTTTTGGCCCATTTCATTTATTATTTCTTTTCTCATCCTCTCTTCTCCCATTCCCTCCCTTCTCCCTTATACAGAGGTGTGTGCTGTATTGTTGTCAGCAGTATGTATGTCAGGCTTTGCAAGGTTTGATGTTCAAATTCTATTTAGTTATGTTTCTTTATGTACAATTGTATATGTGATATATGTGCACGTTTGCTCTAACAGGAGCATGCATATTAGTAGTTGGTTTTAGCGATATTCTTTGTTGACTTTCCTTGTTGTTTCACTAAATTTGATGGATCCTTTTTTTCCTTGATTATTTTGTATATTAGTGTATTGTAATTGGATATGTAGATAGTTTCTATTCGTATGGCTAAGTAGAATCCTTTGTATATATGTTCTTTTGTTTGCATGTGTAGTATGTACATTTTGAATGCTTCTTCATTTCAACTGGTCATGCATGCATTCTTTGTACCTGCATTTGTGTATTTGCAAGTTCATATAATGTCTACAAAATATTTTGATATATTTGAAGATACATATACTTGAAACAGCTGTATATATCTTTTAAAATAATAGGCAAAGGGAAAAACACAGAGCAGTACTAATTTCTATTCCTCAAATGTATTGCCTTGACAGTGAGTGGCTGCAGAGTTCCCGAGAAGCTCTTGATCCCTCCTCCAATTCCCCATCCAGCACACATTGCTGTCATAATCCACAACAGAGAAGCATCTGAACCCATTTCTCTTGATGCTCCACTTACTCTGCAGGTTTGTTTTTTAGTGATTATATTTTTCCACTTGTATTTGTAGCTTTACAGTGTTGTGAAAATCAAATAATGATATTTTTCATAACTGATAATTGTTTTAATTTTATTTGATGAGTGGTTACATGAGAGAGACTTGTATTAGGATGTCTTTTTAAGGTAGGCAGTGATGTAACCAGATCATGAACACAGTATGATATGGCTCAAAATTTAATTTTGGAGAGCTGCATTGTATAGAAAAACAAAATTTTGAATATAGTAAATAGATCTGTATCTTCAAATTAAGTTCTCACTGACAGCAGCTTGGGGTTGTATCTTCTGATACGCTAATTGATGTCTTTTTCCAGGTGATCCGAACTATTGAAGATTCCCCCCATGTTGTTGCTACTCTCTCTCCTGTTTCACTGGCTGATGATGGCACCCCAGTATCTGATTCTCGATCCTCCACAATGTCGCATGATCAGTCACTCTATGATGACCCATCCTTGTATGATGGGCCCTTTAGTAACACTTCACGATCAGGCACAGCAGATAGGAGAGGCAACCGCTGCTCACTTGGACGTTCCCGCACTGCAACACTTGAAATGACAGCGACCTTGGACCGTGTAACTACAAGGGACCAACGCACAAGTCTGCAGGAGTACAATAGGTTGGTGTAATTTTGAATTATTTTAGCTTTATTTACTTTGAATTTTCTTTTTTTAATTTCTTTTTCTACCATCAGAACACTTGATTTTATATAAATTATTTGTTTAGCCATTTATGGTATAGATTGATTACTTTGACTGTCACTGTTAATTACACATTCAGTACCTGTACTCTAAAATACACTGTATTTTTTCATTACACATGTATTTCTTTGTTTTATAATTTATTTTGTGAAGTGCTTAGAATTAGCAAAAAAGACTTTTTAATTTGGCAAGGGTCCTGAAAATCCAGCTATTCTGAGACTGGGAGACAGTTTGATTCATATGAAAAAAAGAAAGAAAGTAAAGATGAAAGCAAGTCAAATAAATGTTTACAGATCTAGTACCCTGGAGCTAACCCCAACCAGAATGGCTCAGAGGCTGGCAACCCCACTACGCTCTTTACTGGAAGGCCAACGACCTTTTACAGTGTCCCTCAACTTGGCCTCTGCTGAAGATGTTAGCCTCGAAGTTGAAGAGGAGGAGGAGCAGCCTATCCCTCTCCAGCCACTCACTCACTCCACATATACCACAGCTGTGTGATGAAATGTTATGAGGGAAGTGCAGGTCCCTTTCCAGAGGCTTACAGATTTCTTGTGAACCCAGATATCTGCAAACTCAGTTTATCTCATATCTCATGTGATGTTCGTTGCTACCCTGTAGAATTGAGATAGGAGTAGCTGATCTCTTTACCACATACCCACTGTACCTTGTGCTATACTGTTGTGTGAACATAGGAAAACTTAGAGAAGAAACTTCCCTTCAGTCAATTCTTTTCTCCATATACATTCTCATTTAGAAGAACAAACAACAACAATAAAAAACAACAAAAAAACATAAAAAATAAAACCAAAAGAAGACAAAAAAAGAGGCAAGGAATACATTAGCTCTTTAATCCTCTTGGGCATGTGAATCACTGTGGGGAGCTGAGGAAGACTGAGGTAAATTGATAGCTTGCACACTGAGTTTTTTGCTTATAACCACCAGGGGCTAGCTAATAAATGGCATTAGCAAGGGAAATGGAACACATATAGGAAAACAATAGAAAGTGAACAAGTCACACATCCATATAAAAGTTTGGTATTTTGCTGTGAGACAAAGGAAATGCAAACAATAAAAAAGCTCTGGTAGTGTCTTATTTTTGTTTTCTATTTGTTTATGTTATGTAACATTTGAACTAATGGATATTCAGCAATATAAGGATAAATTTCTTTGTGTAACAAAGTGATTGTAATAAACTGCCATTGCTATGCTCATTGTAGTGGGTTAGTATTGATTAATACCATTTAGAAAACATACACACAAGGAAATTATTTTCTAAATACCATTTTCTAAACAGAATTCTTCTAACCAGGCTAAGGAAGAAAGAAAACAACACATATCCATACAATATGTAAGTTTCACATATTCCATGCTTAGATGTCAAGTCTTTTTTCTCTTTTCTTTTGCATAATTTCTAGTGTTTCTCGTTTGATGCATAATGAAAAGTAAATTTCCAAAGTATATCTTGCTTCATTTTGCAAAAGTTCACCAGTGAAAAAAAGAAAAAAAAAGTTGAAATTATATACAGAAAGAATATATAGAATTGGCTTAGAATTATATAAATGTGCCTCGGTTTTCACTATCAGTGCACTTGAAAGTTCTGTAGGTTAATATGAAAAGTACTATTAGGAAAACTGCTAGCATTAAGATTCTGTTTAAGAATGAAAAACATTGATCACTATTTAATAGGAAATACAATTTTTTTTAGAAGATTATATTGTGGATGGATTTCAATTATTGACATTTTATGACTTTATTTATATTTTTATGTATTCTCAAAAACCCAAATTAATATTTATTGTTAATACCTTGACGTAAAAACTTCATAGCTAAGAAATATTTTGCACTTCATAATAATGCTTATGAAAAGAGCAGAAAAAAAAGAAAAATACATATAGCATATGAATATATTTAATCACAACTGATATATGTATCAATCACTTTTATTTATTTAATATAATGATGATTTTATTACTATCATCACTTATCATTATTCTTTATTTTTAGTATTCTTTATTATTACTGTTTTTGGTATTACTGTTATTGTTGTTATGCTAATAATGACCATTATTATTGATGTTATTCTCAGAATCAGTAAAAATATCAAATAGATTATGATAATCAGATGCCTAAACATCGTATATGCAATTTTTTTTGCATTATCCACAAAACATGAAACCATTTAAATGCCACAAAATCTTGATTCAGATCCAAAATATAGATTTTTTTTTCTGAAAATTAGGTTAGTATTAGTGAAGAACTTCAGTACCTGCATAGCACTCAAATGGTCAGTGATCCACCGTGTTTTGTATTCTAGGTTAGGGTCAACATTGTCAAGTGCTGTGTTATTTTTATGCACTGGAAAAAAGGATTCACATGTAGCATCTCCATGTGATTTAATTTATTGCATCTCTTAAAAAAAAAAAAAAAAAAAAAAAA